CTATTGATTTTTACAGGGCTCATTGGGGGTGCATAAGGCATTGCTTTGTTGGGGTTTTGAACAGTTTGCTAGATGGTGGGAGGATGGGTGAGTCACAATGTACAGGTATAGTAGTGTTAGTACCAAAGAAGGGAGGGGGCAGGTTCTGAGTGCTTTCCGGGGGATTTCTCTGATGTGTGCTGATTATAATGTATTCGCAAAGATTCTAGGGAATAGGTTGAAGGGGATTCTTGGGTCGGTTTTACACAGGGATCAGTTTGGAATTCCAGGAAGGAGCATGCGGGAAGGCCACGGACGCATCAAAGATTTCTTAGAGGGTTGTAGAGGTGGGGGGGGTTCTTGGATTGGATTTGGAGAATGCATACGACTGTGTGGATAGGGTTTTTATGCGTGAGAGCTTGAGTGGGTTGGGCTTTGGTGCCAAGGTTTTAGGGTGGGTGGATTCCTTGTATGCAGGAGCGACAATGTGGGTACAGGTGACTGGTGGGGTGGGTTGTAAGGTTAGTATGGAGAGGGGTTTGCGGCAGGGATGCCCACTTTCCCAACTTTTGTTTGTACAGAATCCGTTTCATGAGCTTGTAGACTGTAAGTTGAGTGGGAAGGGGGTGAAGGGAATGGGAGGGGGGCTTGTGGGTTATGTTGATAATACGACGAATTTACTTATTGGAAGTGGGGTTTTTTCCCAAAAGGTGGGTGAGGTCGAGGGTTTTCGGGGGCCTTTAAGGGATGAGGGTTAATAAGGAAAGTTGTGTTAGAGGGGGGCCCTTGGGTGGGGGGGGGGAGATTGGGTGGGGGGTTTTGGGATGGCTTGGGGAGGGGATAAAGATTTGTGGGTTTTGTACCTGCGATATGCAGGAGAGCAAAAGGAATTCGAAAGAGTTAGGGAAGGGCGTGAGCAGGCTACTTTTTTTGGGTCTTCGGGCCAGGGATGTAAGTTGCACCAAAGGGCGTGGAAGTGAATTCGTGGTATACAGTAAGGGTTTGGGGAGGTGGGGAAGGCCCCCTTGGGAACTGTGATGCCCCAAAGAAACAGCAGGGGTTAAGGTATATTTGGGGTTTGGAAGGGTTTGGGCGAGAGGTGGAATGACGGGGGTGCTTAAGAGGGGATTGGGGTTTTTTTTTTATTGGGGGGAGGGGGAGGGTGATTTAGTTTAAATCAAAACCTCAGAAGGGGGGTTTAAGGGGTTTTCTTTTGGGGGAGGGGAAGAGGGTGTACTTGTTTGGAAATGGGCGGACCCGGAGGTGTGTGAGGGCATGTTGAGGTAGAGTGTGGGATGGAGATGGGGGACAGATGAGTCAAATTCAGTGGGGTGGGGGGGCGCCGGTGCCCCCTGAGGTGAGGTGGGAAAACGTAATGTAAACAAAGAGAGCGTGAGGTGGAGAAACTAAGGGGTAAACAAAGAGAGTGAGGCCAAAGGGAAAACCCTTTACCTCCCCCAAAACGTAAGTTAATAGCCGTATTTGGCCCTCCATACTTGGTCAATGATATTCAGGGCTAGGAGGTACAAAGTGTACTCACAACGTAGGTTTTTTTCATTAATTTGTGGTTTTGTCTCTTTGCGCTAGGAGCATTTATTAAGTTGTACCCGAATAAAGGATTACCAAACACACCTGAAGTCTCTTTGACATGTCTTGTATTAATTAGTACTACACGGGTTAAGGAGCTGGTGTGGTAGCCTGTCCCGGCATCCTGGTGGTGTGGCGGTCTCGCTGAGTTGTGAGGGGGCAGATGTACGTGGTGAAGAGGCGAGGAAATGCCTCATGCTTTTCATGAGCAGCTTCACAAAGGAAAGTCATGAACCAGGGACACACGACAGAAGCCCCCAAAATCAACCCCCCAACACTACAGTAAAAGGGATCAGTGAAGTGTTGGGTTTGAAAATTTTCCTGCCGGTGGGAGATGTTTCAAAATGGGACCGACCCAAACCCAAATCAAACACTGCTC